CACACTGTACACTTAACCACATGTCATAATAAATAGATAATAAGTAATACTTAATAAATAAATAATGAATGAAAACAATTCACTTACCGTTGTTTTTCTTTTCATTGGTACATTTTTAATGAAACTGTGCATTTCCTTGAACCAATTTAACTTTGACGTATATTCCTCTTGAGAACGAGCTCCAGACCTGGTTGATTTATCAATTTTTGACAGTTCTTGACAATAAGTTGCTCTTAAATTTTTTATTTTATTTTTTACTTCTTTGGTATTCATTTGTATACCCATTGTCAATAATTCGCCACACATTTTTTGTAGTGCTGAATCTCGCATAGATTTGTCTTTATAAGACGGAATGGTAGCGTTCCATAGACATTCCTTCTCACGGTACAATTGTACAAACTTTAAATTTATTTCGTTACTTAGTTTCGGCATCTCGTTGCAGAAACATACGTAGTTGCAGTCAGACAAACAAAACCGCGTGAACACTGCGGCACTGTAGCCGAACGGATACTAGCTCTACTAGCTTCCCCGGCGACACGAAGCTAAACCGAAGCCAGCACAGCAAAATCAGTGGTGGGGGAAGCTTACTAGCTTTAAAAATAGAACGGCAAGCTATTAAACTATCCTGGCTTCAGACACTAGCTTACTAGCCTGGAATAAAGCTAGTTTTGTATACACGATGATAGATGCACTAGCTTGCTAGCTTACTAGCACTAGCTTGCTATCCTAGCTTACAAAACTAGCCTCGTGTATCCCGGGCATTAGAACTATATAGAGTGTGGAAGATACGATATATCGTTAAGAGGTCAAGGATTCTAGACCTTTAAGTATTGAGAATTCATCTGAAGTAATCCCAGGAGAAGGAAAGTTTCGCTGTCTTCTCAAATTCAGGCTTAACTCGGGTGATAATGTATTAAGAAATCATCTAATGACTTGTCCAAAGAATGCAAGTTACATAAATGCCACAACACAAAGAAGCTAGATATTTTTCTGTGTAAGGTACATAAAAAATAACAATGTTCCTGCAATTTGTTCCGGTTACATCAACCAGAGATGAATCGTTAGCCAATGTAATAATTCAAGTATTTAGTACAGGCTATATTAAAACAACTATATCCGACAGGCTTGTATGTTCACTGCGCTTCCCATTCTTTGAATCTGGCTATTTTAGATGCCCCAGTACTGTATAGCCTATTAAAAACTGTATGGGTATAATAGAAAATGCATATAATTTTTTTAATACGCCAAAGTGTCTTAATCGAAAAAATCAATGAGTTAAATTCCACATCTAGACGAGACAAATTGAAACAACTGTGTCCCACGCGATGGATTCAACGACAAGATATCATTGTTGCAATGAAAGAACTGTTAGAGTCCGTAGTTTCTGCTCTAGAAGACATGTCAACTTGGATAGATCGGGAATCGTCATCTTGGGCAACATTGTTGAAAAATTCTGTAAGTTCTTTCGAATTTATCTTGTGTCTTTTAGTTATGGAAGTCGTTTTTGCATACACACTACCCTTGTCAAAATTACTTCAAATGATAAATACCGACTTGTGTCAAGCAGTTTCAATTTTGACACATTTTATAACAACATATTTCTGGAAGGAAATCAGTTGATGTGGAATATATTTGGAGAACAAGTAAAGACAACAATTAAAGACCAAGAGTTGTACTTAGACAAAGAAATAGAGCGAATTTTGAAACAGAATATTACAAAATATGAGTTTTCATCCCATTCTTAGTCAACGTCATAATACAATTAGATGACAGATTTATTGCACACAAAGATATTCTTTTCCAAAGTAGCCTTTTATGTTTAGTTCCATCACTAGTATTTACAGCTGCTGAATTTAAACTTTGGTACAAAACATTTTACAATAGTTTACCAGAAGAATTTCCCAATTAATTATTGAAACCCCCACTTCATTTGGTTTTCTATATAGTTCTAATAGACGGTCGTCGTGGATGACCCTGTACTATGCCATAGCACAATTATATAACACATTGTAAATATATACTAATTAGTTGCTTATTTTTGACATTTTGATACACAAAATTAAACAAAAAGATGTTTTGCAGCTTTTCCCAGTGGTCCAGTCTGCTTTACACTGTTTCTAAATGAATATCGGGGTTTTAACACTTTGTGGTATTTATGACATGAAACTTAAAATCATTATTAATATATGAATTGAAAGACTGGTGTGAAGTTATCCATAAATCCCAACCATAAACTTAAAACATTAATAGCTCCGTAACCAATACGTATTGGGTCACCGAATTTCACACACAGGTCACTCTTACCCTGAAGAACAGCTTACAACCACCATTTGGTAAAAAAACCCATTTCTTACCCCATATTCCTATAGAATGTTTTTCTATGAGCCAATCATGATGGTCTACCCTACCCATGTATGGATTATAATAATGAATCAATCTTGGCTGAGCAACTTACACTTTTAATTTTTGTACTCTGCTGCATCTTGCAACTGATGCTACTGGTTTTATAGTATCAAAATTTGTGACCATACAAACACATTTGCTATCATTCCATTTTACTAGCAATAATTTGTTTTCGCTATCAAATCTTTGATCATAGGATATTTATCTGGAGCTAACTTTTCTAGGACTTTGGTTGGTCACAAAAGACATTTTACATTTTCCTATTTTCGCTGATAGTACCTGTTAAACGTACTTGCATTTCTTTTAATTGATGAAATAAGGCATGATTGCTACAGCTTATTGGACTATATTAATTATTTAGCAAAAGAAATAATATCCATCTTCGCCACAAAGTGTGCAGTATTTGTAACCAAATCGTATTGGATTACCCTTTATGCACTTGTAGTAAGTGGTGATCGTAATATCTTACAATCATTTCATTTATGGAAGATTTTCTTAAGAAATACTAAAATTTTGAAAACTTGCATTTACTATATCTAACAACGGTCTAATCTTAAACGATTTATCGCCCTTACTTTCATTAGCTTCGACATTATTCTGAAAATGTATGTAAGACTTTACTTGAAGATAGGCATTTTTGCTCATAGCATTTTTCATAATACATTTTTCCAAATCGTCGTCGTCTGACCAATAATCGCGTTCAGATTTGATGATAAAGTGTGATAGCACATTTTACCATCAAAAGTGTTTCAAAAGTTTTTTTCTATCAAAACCCCAGCTTCCAAATCATTCTAAAGTTTCTGTTGCGCATGTGCGACATTCGGCTCCACTAAAGCAAAATAAATCATCGCTTAAGACGCATTGCTGCTCCGGAACCGCTATACTCCGCAACCACTTAACTATCTACCGCTTCATTTTCTGCTACACCTTGTCGCATTACTTAAGGTAATTC